CCACTGCTCCCTGGGTGCAGCTGATTGTAAAGGCAATTATGGCCAGGTAAGTCCCATTACCTTTCTGTCTGGGCAGCTGAGTGGCAAACCTCCCAGAAAATGCCAGTTTGTAGGATTCTATGCTGATACTTCCCATTCTTTCTTAACCAGATTTAAAGAACAGAGAAGCTTCCTGCTCAGCTATAGGATCAGTCTTAGTTTTTCTGGCTGTGCTTCAGGGTCCTTGCTCAAGCTGATATGTCAGTACTAAACCTCTGACTACCAGCAACTCTGTCTGCAGGGAAGCACAGAAGTGTTTTTCTCCCTTTGAAAAATAAGGCTTTAAAAAGTCATCTTCCCCTTACTTAGTTGCTATTTTTGAGCTAGTGAGGTTCTTGCTGTGAGGAACTGCAGAAGCTTGTGCTGCAGAGCTTTCCCAGCTGGACACCAGGCATGCACACAGTGGGATTTCAGCAGTTTTGAAACATCAACTTTATTCTCCCTGTGCTTCAAGATAGCACAAAGAATGGGAAAGAGACCCCACACCCTAATGTTTGTGCTATGCTAAGCAGCGGTAACTTTAACCTTCTTTTAAATTATCCTCTTCTCTCACCTCTTAACAGGGCTCAAAAAAATTCTGACTCTCCCCTCTAAGAAACGTCAGGACAGAAAAAATCTGGGAACTGCTTCTGCTCCTCAGTCAAGAGAAATATATGGGAAGAGCGTCATTGAAGCAGTGCACAATCTTCCACATGCTGCACCCGTGTTATGATGTTAATGCTGGATGGTTTTATTTATTTATCTATTTATTTAACTGTGTGTATTTAAGGAAGTCTCACTTTGGTCAGTGTTGTCCACAGGACATGCTGCCCTGACACTGAAGGAAAAGTGGTTTGCTGAAGGACATGGAGAACCCTCGGCAGCCACTTGAGCCAAACATTTGCAGTGAGGTGCAATGCACCTGCAGCACAGTTTACTCACACTAAGCCTGATCATTTTGCTATTTCACCAGCAAACTGATGAATCCTCCTGCTCCCCTGGAGCGCACCAGTATGTTGTGTCAACAACAGCTTCCTGAACCACAGTCAGCCTGTGGCCAGACTGTGAACTGTAATGTCTCACTTGAAAAACCTAACCTACAGAATGTGTAATGCTCTATTTGGTATTTATGGGTTGTGATTTCCATGGTATTTATAAATGTATTTATTGAGCAGTTTCTATGTAAGAAAGAAAAGTTATAATTTATTTAATTTTTACTGGATTTTTCATTCCTGCTATCTGTTTGTGGAGAAATATTCACAATCTCATTACTCTGTACTTGATTATATGTCTAATTAGCTACTCCATCAGCTAACGGAAAAAACTGTATTTTACATACCTAGAGTTTGATTATGAGAGTGTAATTATTCCTAAAAATGTACTATTAAAAGTTTTAAATAAAAAAAAAATTGGTTTTCTGCTTGATCTTTTTAAATCTTCATTTGCTTTATTTGAAAATTCTACTTTATTTTTGCCAGCCTGATTTCTGAAACTGAAATGAAAATTTTTAAGTCCATGGTGCCATAACTTTCCCTGTTATGGAAGCCTAGCACTCCTGACTACACTAACACAGACTCTTAAGGTGGGCTAAGTAGCTCACTCTCCTCTCTTCAGTCTGTTCCCAATCTATGGGGACTATAGTGGGCTCTAGGGCAAGGCCCCTTCTTTAATTCCCTTGCAGATAAAAGAGTTTTATTCCCAGATGCCTAAACACCACTAAGTGTCCACGTCAGCCTCACACTTGTAACTACTACAACGAAAGGCCACTATCTGACCATCAAAACAGGAATTTGCCACCTTTACTTTGGGTACCCAAAGAGCAAGCACTTGTCCTGATGTAACAACTGCTTCCTATTCTGGTCCCTGATATGCAGTGTGCTGAGCACATGATTCCTCCCTCTCTTAAAAACTTCCCAGAAGGAAACAGGGAATAAGAGACAAAGGGCATAATTTAAAGACTATTATTTATAACTAGAGTATAATTGGTTTTTTTTGAGGGATGCACACTCTTATCTCACTTTTATCTATAATCTAGATAGTAATAAAACAGCAGAGAGATTTTTGCTGGGTAAATTTGGGATCATAAAATAAGACAGCTGTCTCTGGCTTGGTTTTTCTTGAAGACCCTTCTCAGTAAGCTTGATGCCAGTCCTCTCCTTCACCATTGTTATTTTGGCATCAGCCAGAAGAGTTCTGCCACCTTAAACAACGTGTCCTGGGGCCCTCCAGCTATCAGGCCATGTAGAAGCCACGGGAGAGAAGTGCTCACTTTGGAGACTTGCAGGGCCTGCAGTCTGTGTCTGTCTGGGTACATGTGCATGTCTGTGTAACTCAGCAGGCAGCTGGCCAGCGGGTGATGAAGGGTCAGATGTTTGCACCACAGGGAAAGGATGGACCCTGAGATTTTCCTGCAGCTAACTACATGCTCTTGTCCATCTCCTCCTTTTCCCATTCCCATGAAAGTTTCTGCTCCCCTTGGTCACTTCATCTAGCATTTAACTGTCTTTCTACAAGACTGTCAGAAGACCATTCCACTTTACAGCTGCTGTGTGCATTCATCACCTGTCTTTCATTTCAGTGCCTTCCATGTCATGAAATGCAGCAGAGGTGTTTACATATCCTTTCTGTCCTCTGCTATTCTCTTGGCCCCTTTACTTCACCTTCCCTTCAAACCACTTTTATTTTCTTCCTGCACCAACAGGTTAATTTGGGGGGCAAGAGAAGTGGCAACTATCAACTGACCAAGCCATGACCTCCTGTCATTTCTCTTTCCTCAAACTCCCCTTCCCATGCCTGGTTGCTGGAGCTCTGTTCTTGCATGAAGAAGTGCAATTTGTCTCCTCAAGTGTCTATGATTGCTGTCCTTGCAATAATGAAAGTATTTTTCTCTCAAATGTATAAACACTGCAAACTATAGAGGAAGTCATGAGAAGAAATACTGGAAAGTCCCTGAAAAATACTCCTAACTCTTCCTTAGAAGTACAGAGAATGCAAGCATGAGTTTCTCGGCCCCAATTTCTCTGTCTGTGCTGAATATTGGCTAACATAAACATAATGTTGGCTAACATAAACATCCTGGTTTTGTGTTAGGTGACAAACGTGCTTAACTTGCTTTTGGTTATGGACTGCTTCCCATTCTAAAATGATTGTTTTTCTTATGCTCTTATCACTTAACAAGGGAAAACCCCACTTTTCCAGGAAAGTTATGCATAGGATGGACTTAAATTGCAGATTTGTTTCAGGAATTTATTCTTGTTTATAACAAGATATCATGAGCAACTCTACAGGAAATGGATCCTTTGAAAATTACACAAACTGCCATGGAAACTTTGGGATCAGCAAATAGGCATTTTGTTTCTGAGTGCACAGGTGAAACAAGAATTTTGCCACCTATAAAAATAAGCCTGAGATCTCTACTGTTTGGAAAATGTCATGAAAATTGACTTTTATATTACCTGCAGTTAAATTACTTTTAGTAACAGTCATTGGTGTCAATCAGTGCAAAGACTACTTCACAATCCCTGTGGAATTCTGGAGAGGGAGATTCTGTGGAAGAATCAGGAAGGTTATAGGTATAACCAGGCTCACTGATAGTGTTTCCTGTGCCCTTTCATGAAACAGGCAGCAGTGTGACGTCTCTACAAGCTTCTGTGGGCACATTTCAACATAGCTATGCTGAATAACTTTTCATCACTAACAAATGTCGTTTATTTTAACAAGCATCAACCTCTGATACACCCAATTATGTTATTCCATGGAAGTTCAAATTCATGAGGTACGTGATCAACATTTTTTTGAAAGAAAAGCGTTGCACTAGGTTTCCCAGAACCCATCTCCACTGACTCAGCCAAGAACACTAGCAGAAAAGTGAAGCTAAGACTGCACTACCCAAAGTGCACATTGGCAACTCCAGTATCAGTCTGTCCATTTCTCCTATTCCTACCTAGAGGACAGGTGAACTCAGGAAAATACTAATACTTTTTATCTTTTGCAGAAAACTTTTTGATACATAGACACCTTATAAAAATCTGTGGAAATAAGAAGTTGTTAGGCAAGTGGCTTGAGAACATATTTGAATCAACTTACCTCCAGTGAATCAACTTACCTCAAAAGAGCCTTCAGTTTTCGAGAAGGAGAGTTAAGCAGCTTTTCTGACTCAGCTAAATACAACAATAATTTTTAAGCATAAAGTAACATTCTTGCTGCACTCCTAAGATTCACAATTTCTAGCTTTTTCCTTGAAATAATTTTCCAGAATGATGAAAGTTTCATAGCTCATAAGAGAAGCAAATTAATAAGTCCACTCTCTTAGCCTGATTGTTTTATTAAAGACATATATAACGTTTGCACTGAGATAAGGAGACTTTTAAAATACTGACAATTCTTCTTTTCCTCTTCTGTTTTCAAGGTCACAGTTTTTACAAGTTTGTAAGCAGACAGGAGAATCAGAATTCAGCTGTTGTGCTAAAGCCAAAATGTTATTAAAATTGCAAAAGCTTAAATCACCATTTCTGTGTGAAGAGTGTCTAAAGCATCAGTGGCAGATTTTATGAAGAGTGAGACAGGACATGTGAATGACAGCATGGACCACATGGGCTTCTTTTTTACTTGATGCAGAACTTCTTGAAGGAATGAGAATGTGTGTAAAAAGTACAGGAGATGCAAGATATACTAAGCCGAGAAAAGGACCAAAGAGCTGAACTTGGAACACCCCCTGCATTTTCTTGCTATTACTGAAAAGTAAGAGTTTGTCCAGGCAGGTGTCAGACCTTTGTGTGCAAGGAACTTAGTCACTCAATACAAACAGAAGAGCAAATGACTTGTCAAAAATCCTGACTCTTTGAAAGCTTTGTGGTTGACTTATCAATAACCAGTGGGTGGCTCTTCTGGGCGAAGAGCCACCCAGCTCGTTCATTGCTGAGGCAGACATTGCCAGCAGCAGACCAGTAATAAAGCAAATAAATCTAGATTTGCTGACTTACTGCACCCCTGTAGTCAAAAATTCCATCAGTTCCTCATTTTCTGCTTTCTTCTCTGTTTGGTTCTTCACCTCTGAGAGCAAAGCCCATGATCCTGCAAAAAAGAAGCAACTGACGTGAGCATTGCTCACTCTGAGCGCAATCTCAATGAGAAGAGCCAAAGCAAACAGGCTCTGCTGTAGCTGGTTCATGTTGAACACTGCAGCTTCACCCACTCCTTGTTACCACCAAGGAAAACCCAAGAGGTTTTTGCATACACCAATCTCACAAAGGTCAGCAGGAGACTCAGCTGAGGAAGGAACACGGGAAAGAGCTGTCAATCCACCTGCACACACCTGATCTGTTGGCAGGCCAAATGCTGGAGTCATTTCCATGTTGAAAAGTTCTCACAATACTATTCCTGCTTAGAGGAAAGGATGAGGGAGAGCATGCAAGGTCTTCTGGTACTAAAATGACCATTAAAAAAAGAAGAAAATGCATGAAAAGTCCCCTGTGCTGTTTGTTTCAAATGGCGTGTACCAGGAATACAAGCCAGGGCCATCCAGATGGAAAGGCTGCTGGTGGGACAGTGCTCCCTTAGAAAAATGAAGATTTGAACAAACCAAAAAAAACCTCATTAGAAAGCAATGATTTTGTCAAATTCAAGCTTGTTTTCAAGAGCTAAGGGCAAAGTTCATCTAAATTAAACTAATCTTAGCTCACATCAAAATAGTATTTGGAGCTAAGTGAAATTAGTATTTTCAGTCAATGTCCTGATCAATTTCATTTTATGGGGACTTTCACTGTCTAGAAGAAAACCAAAGGTAAAAATGCTGCATTTCAATGAATTCAAATGTTGCTTTTTTTCAGTAGCCAGTTTTTCATGGAATGCTCCTAACTTGCTTATTCTCTTGCCACCTCAGTTTACTCCTGACAGCAGCACTCACTAGCAATTTTAATTTCTTACTTCTTAAGAAAGAAAAAATGCTTTCCTCATGTTTGTTGCCACAGCTTTTAGCATAATGTCTTGGCATAGTCCTGTATCCTGCGTGTACTGAAGCAATTTGGAATCACACTATCTGGAAATTTTAAAAAAGGAAGGGCAAAAAGAAAGAAAGACAAGATAATGGGGAAGAAAACCATTGACAGTAAACTCAGTGGTGATCACATTTACCAAGAATGTTACCTGTGTGTTTCCTCCAAACATCTCCTTCTCTAAACACCTCCCTATAACAAGCTGAAAGGATGCATGTCCCTCTTGCTGCTTTGTAGGCCATTTTGGATAATTCAGTAACAATTAAGCAAATTCACTGGGATTATTTTTCCTTCCTTCCAACAAATAGCAGCCATTTTTTGTTGTCAGGAACAATCTAATTCATTTTACTACAGAGCCCAAGTACTCTGGAGACTAAACCTGCACATGGCACCCAAAGGGCTGTAAGGAAGCATTCCCTGAGATGGCAGCTTCAGTGTCACCTAGGGTGTAAGTCAAGTATGACTTCTTCATTTTTCCTTCATTGCAACACAAGCAACGAAAGTAACAGACAGGACTGAAGTCTGGGAGTCATGAGAGAAGACTTCAAACATTTTGTGATTATTCCAAAGAGTGTTCCCATTTTCTTGTGGTCAGATGTCTCGTGTCACTGTTTTCCCAAGTGATGCCATCACTTTAACCAAAAGACCACAACTATTCAAAGCTCACTCCCAAAAATTACTCAGCTCCACTGAGTCCAAAAACTGAAATTGCCTCAAGCCATGTTGGGGGGAATGTTGATTCTGGGACCATGGATTGGGTTTTTTTGCGTTGAATAGCTCATTTTTTAAGCGACTCATACTTTCTTTACTTGCAACTCTCTGCAGATGGAACAAATTTTATTGTATTTATTTCCAAACAGATAAATTCTAAGTTGACTGAAATCTTTGTTATGCAGTTCACACAGATCCAAGGACAAAAGCCTGCAGGCAATTTGTAAGATGAAAAGCATTTTTTGCTCTTGGTAAGGCCAAGAGGAGCTCTTTCTGCCTTTCACAGGCTGTGATGACCTCAAAGGCTTATCAATTGAACAACTCTGTGGGGGTGGAAGGAGTCACACAGTTGTAATCTTTGTCCAGGTTCATGCCTGCCACTAAAAAGCCAGGAGATTTTTCCCCCTCAGCAGAGGTAAGATCAAATTGCTTAAAGAGTTGGGTCCCAAACTCAAAATAAAGCCCCTCTTGTCTCCTTATATGTTAGGTGTAAAATACCAGAACCAGTGAATCCACCACTGGATGGTGAAGTCACTCACTTTTTGGGAATTGTTGTGTGTCCAGGAGTCCCACTTAGTAAGGTGACAGTGAAACCAGCCTCCACAGTCCCATCAATGATCTCAGAAAAGGTCAGGTGGCACCTGAAACAGAAAAACAGAAATGATGGCCAAACACATGGATTGCAGAGCCAACAGGTTCTGTTTGCCAAGGTAATGCCTGAGTAATACAAACACATTCCTTTCAGCTATCAACAGTGTGTGTGTGTGTGTGTGTGTGTGTGTGTGTGTGTGTGTGTGTGTGTGTGTGTGTGTTCACGCTCTGATTCCCAGCAGTGGGCACAGGTGAAAAACCTCTAACTCTGGTGAAGGGAAAAAAACCCCTGAGGGCTCCTGAATGTTAAATTCAGGTGAAGATGCAGGAAGGCAGGCAGGAAGATACTGAGCATCATTTGCTATAGATCATTTTTTTAAATGTGAATTTTCATATCTCAAAAGGTATTACAGAAAGGAGCACACAGAAACATGTGATGTGTGCCCCAATGCAGCTGGCAAAATGGAGCTGGGGTTCTCCATGACACAAGGTGAACACCAGGACACTTCTATCTCTTACATCTTCTGGTATTATTTTCAAGGGCCTATGGACTGGAAACATTTCAAAACTTGAGAAACACACAGGGAAATTGAAGGAAATAAAACATCTGATAGATATAAAACCTACCTTGCACAAAACTGTAGCTTGAAATTTGGTTTCTCCCTCCAGCAAATATGTTTGTACTTCATGACAGAGCTGGATCCACAGGAGGAGTTATAGGTGCTAGGGAGCAGCACCTCCTATAGACAGGGAATGCTATGAAACATACTGCTATAGGTAAAAAAGGTAACATAATGAAGATGAGAGGATATCAGCAGTCCATACCCTCTGACTTCAGTCTGTACTAGGTAGCAGTGACTCAACATTTTACAGATCAGAACATAAATAATTCCTAACAAAAACCTTGGAGGAAATAAGACTGCTCCTTCAGAGATTGGCCATGTTAAATGGTTTCTAGGCCATGATCAAAGTTGACCTTAGTCTTATATCTGGGACACCTCCTCCAAGGTAATTCTCGTGCACTTAGGAGAAGTCCTCACTTGTTGAAGTGAGACATCTCTTGTTTAATTGTCTTGTAGCTCTCCTGGGCCTGCTGCCACTGAATGGCTCCCACTACAGGTGCCAAGCCAAATAAATACCTGCTGTGGAAAGGCACACAGCCAAAGTCTGAAACAAAGGAGCTAAATCATTTCCTGCATGTAATGAATTAAGGACTGGATAATGTGAAGGCAATTGAGCCATAAGGTTTATTGTCTTTATGTACCTATTCAGGGCCTGCCTGAGCTGGGAGTGCTTTCTGTGTCCCAGTAACCCCAAGACCCAGGCTAAGGACACTGAGAGATTTCACAGAATCACAGAATCCTGGCGTATCTTCACACAGCAGCTTCTGCTAAAGAGCTGGGTGAGTTGAACGGGAACTTCAGTGAGGCAAATACAAACCTTGTGGTGAGCTCTGTCCCAGCTACACTGACACCACAACTTAAAATAACTAATTTAAACTTAATCCAAAATTACCTTCAAGGTCTCTTTCCAATTCAAGCCATTTCACGATTCTATTTGTTCCACCTGCACTCAGTGCATGGCAAACATCTGTAATGAAAGAGGGCAGCAGGCAGGGAAAAACTCAGCTTTCTGAAGTGATGCTGTCTGTTCCCTATCTTTTCTGTACTTGCTAAAGACATTTTGTCAAAGGTGGTGAAGGGAAACAGGGCAAAAGTTACAATTGAAGAGAATTACTCTGCAGCTCAGCCTTGTTGCTGCTGTCATCTAGACTGAAGAGACCTTACTCACATTTCCCCACAGAAGGGAGCTAGAAGCAATCTGAAGTCTGCAGGTACAAAGCCTTGCTCAGGCAGATGGTCTTGCATGTTGAAATAGCCCCAGAGACACCCATTTCCCTTGTTCCAGGCCTGTTTGTGCAAGCCCTGAGTCAGAGGACCAGGCTCTGTACCATCTGCTGCACCACAGCATGTCCATGACCTGGCTGCTGCTCTCAGGGAGAGCTGGCCGCAGAGTTTCACACATTGCTGCTCCGTGTCTAAAAACAGCTTCACGCTCCAGACCCCAGGAGACATCTGGAATTTCCTCAGCAGTAACCACTGTGGAATGAGGCTGATGGGTCAGTTCTTGTTAGCAGTCATGCAAGCATAAAGCCAAGTGCCGTCACGTAAGCTGTCCTTACTCATGCGTACTGTCCAAGAGCAGTGTGTAATCTGACTGCGCACGAGTGACAGTGAGGGATCTGCTCCCCACATCACTCTGAGCTGGATCTGCCAAGGATAACTGCAATGACCCGGAGCAGACTGTGCACCATCCTACCTGCTTGTTGCCTCAGTTTGCTGCAGCTGGGCAAATCCTTCTTGCTGCAAAGAACATGGCACTTCCTTGGGACAATCATATGGGGAACTCCCAGTCCAAGGCTTGTGTGGCTATAACCTGGAGGGAATGGTGATTCCACCTCCATCATCTCAAGGGATCTCAGTGAAGGTTTCTAATTAGTGGCTGCCCCTAAGCTGACCATGTAGCTTCCTTTTAAGACCAAGCTAACAGCCAGATGCTCCCAAGGATGTCGTTACCAAACTGCATCTGGATAGGGGTCCAAACTAGTCATTAGATATTTCCTGATAACCTGGGTCAATCACCATTTGCTTGTGACATAAAATCTTCCTGCAGGGCTGATCTCCTGAGGGACTAAGCCAGTAGCTGTATGAAACAGCTGAGCTGTAGATGATGGAGCCCAGGAATGAGAGTCTTTGTGTCCCATCAGCTTGCTATCTCCTTAATCCCTTTTCAGGACTGCTTTATACACTGTATCTTATCTGGTTTGGGTCCTGACTTGGTTTTGTTCTCAGACAGTTCATCTAATCTAAGGCATTCAGGCAAATGGGGCAAGACACACGGCTGCCTGATCCTGGAACAAATTGATTTGCTGAACCCCACTCATGCTCACAAAAGTCTGTGCAAGAAAACAAATTTGCTAAAAAAAAAAACCACCCAAAACCAAGACAAATAAAGTGCAATATTCTATTTTGTACTAAAACTTATTACAAAAGAAAGTAATCTAAGTGATCTAAACCTGTGTGTAAATGAAATGTAGAAAACCTGTATCTCGTTTGCATTAAAAGCTCATAGGAAACTATCATTTTGCTTCTTTATAACTGAACTCAGCAAAATGCCTTGACAGGAATGAAGGCAGAGAGTGACCTCTGTATGTGAAGGAGTGGAACAGAAGGCTGTCAGTAGTAGAGTGTACATATGGAAATCCGAGGAAAAAAGGGTTTTCAAAAACTAGGTGAATGAAGGGGTGCTCAGGAGAACAATGCCACTGAGTAAGAGTGGGCATTGCACATGGCTCGGCAGCAAGGCAACCTCCAGAACCCAAATTCCCCTTTGGCGCAGCACCCTGCACCCTGCAAGCTAACGGAGAGCCCCCACAAAAAGCCGCCGCTCCTTTCGGAGAATGGGGTCCCAGCAGACGCTGGGCGGTTCTCGGGACGGTGCAGTGCCACACTTCCCTCGCTCCCGGACCTAAAGCAGCCGCTGTGCCGGGAACGGCCGGTCTTCTCTCTCCGCCCTGCTCCTTTAGCTGCATACACCCACCGGTGGAAAGGGGCCAACGGGGCACTGCCCCCTGGCTACACTCCGGGAAATTCCCCGGCAGCTCCCGGCCGGGAATAAAAGCACGGGAGGGAAAGGGGGCCGCCTCGCCGGCTCCTGCACCCTCTCCGCCGCCAGCACCAGCCATGAACCCGTACCTCTCTCTCCTCCTGGCCGCCGCCGCTCTGTGCCAGGGTAAGCGACCGAGCCGCGGTTACCCATCCGTCCGCGGTCGGGCCTCGGCAGGGGTGCGCGGGGGGCCGGGCCCGTCCGGGGGCCGGGGGGTTTCGGGGACCCCGGAGCCGAGGCTCAGAAGACTCCTCTCGCCTGCCAGGTGCGCCGCTGGCCGGGGAGCTGCGCTGCCGCTGCGTGCGGACCGTGTCCGAGGTGATCCCGCCGCGGCGCCTGGCCCGCCTGGAGTTCCTCGCCGAGGGGCCGCACTGCGCCGTGCCCGAGGTCATGTAAGTGCCCGGCCCCGGCCCCGGCCCCGGCCCCGGCCCCAACCCCGACCCCGGCCCCAGCCTCACCCCCTCCCTGTCTCGCCCGCAGAGCCACGACGAAGAAGGGACTGACCATCTGTCTGGACCCCGTCGCTCCCTGGGTCAAGCTCCTGGTCACCAGGATCCTCCGTAGGTACGTGCCGGGCCAGCTGTCACCAGAGCTTGGGACCAAACTTACCTTCTTAAACCCAAGAATAACGAGCCACATTCTGTTATTGATTCCTGTAAGGAAATCTGGTTAGTTACTCCAAAAATGTGTCCAGAAAGTGGCTTCTGTGTTGGGGAAGAGACAACCCAGCAGGCTGTCAGGGAGAGTATCCACAACAAATGCCTGATTAGTTGCAAATCTAGCCACAGTACGTTCCATCATCACCATCAGGCATCTTTTCCACACATCCTATGTGATTTATTATCTGGTGTATGCAAAAAAAAACTTATGGAAAAACTTCCTGGTGGGCTTTACAATTTGAATTCTACCTATTGCAGCTCAGCCAACAAGCTGTGCATGAGGGAAGGAACTCCTCGGAATGAAGTTACCTGTTTGCCACAAGATCCCAGGAAACAGATGCTGTGAGGACACAATAGCTCAGCTCTCTAGTTTTGATGGATTTGTAGATCTGATGTTCTATGTTTCATTCCCTCTCCTCATAGTTGTTATTGCCTAATCCTCTGTATGGTTTTATTGACTGAGACAAAATGATTGAATCCATTTGATAAGACAGTGGAAGCTTTGCTGGACACCTCTCAGCAGCCTTCTCAGAACTTGCTCCACCTTTGTGCAAACTCCTTCTTGCCAAATTCTGTTTGCCAATAAGTTCCTATAAAATATTGATATCTGAAAAGAAGATGAATGCATCATGAAGATGATTTTGTAAACGTCTGCAGAGAGTGTGACAGGAGAGGTTTGAATGGATTGTGCCGATATCCTTGCATCAGGAATAACAAGAGTGCTGGCTGGCACTTAACATTGCAGTGCCTGTCCAGGATTACATGGGAATAAAACCTGATTCAGGCAAGAATGTTTTGCTGAATCTCTTTTTCCTACTCCAACTCTCCAGCCTCTAATACAGATTGCCTTGGACCTTTTTGCACAATGTGCTATCTAATGAAATCACAAATTTTGCCCCTGAAGTCTTTTTCTCCTATTCAATACTTAGAAGGATTTAATAATTTCTATGAAATTGTGGGGGTTTGTGCCATGACTGGTTTGGGTTTTAACCAGATAATGTTGAGGTTGGTTAGCTGGTTTGTTTTTAAATGAGTTTACATTACAATATTTGGTATTTATGCACAAGATCTAAAGGAACAGTAAATGTTCTGGAGAGACTTAGACATTTTATGTCTACTCGTATGACATAGTGTCATGACTCATAAAGAATAACTAATATTCATTATTCTGCTTTGGAAAATTGTATGTAAAGAGGTGGATTTCTCATGATAATGTAATGAAATATATAATGCAATAAAAATGTTTTCCTGTTGAAAAACGTCCCAGGTTTTTGTGAATTCCATGTTAGCTGGAGCTGTGTACCTGTGTCAGTTGGGCCAGTGGGATGCAGGGAAGCAGCGACCTCTGTGTACCCTGGGATTCCTGGACACACTTGCAGAGCAGCTCTCTCTGAAGGGTCAGGGGCACTTTGTGCCAAGCAAACGTGTTTCTATACTCAGAGGCACATTACTCGAACCCTCTGATGTGAAGCTGACCTGAGCTGCTGGTATGAAGAGAGATTAACCCCAGGATGGATGAATGGAATCCAGGCACACCCCTGCAATCTGCAGGAATTTCTATTCTTCTGTTCTCCAGCCCACCTGGAAGCGGGCTGTGTTTAAAGTTAAAGGCATTTTGCTGGGTGGGAAGGAGTTAACAGTGTTTACTATGGTAGGAAACAGTAAAAGTTTGCAACAGTAAATTTGTTTCCAGAAGAGAAATGGTTCGGGTCCCAGCTGTAACAAGGATCTCTGGCACTTCTGAAAGCCAAGAATCCCCTTGTCTGGATTCCTCAGTGCACATTTCCGGGACAAACAATCTCTTCTGTCACTAGGTACATGGTACTTGTTTAGTGACAAATCTACTGAAATGAAATGAAACCCACATGAAATCCACATGAAATCCACACGAAATCCACACGAAATCCGACAAAACCTTATCTGAAAGCACACCCACATCGTGGCCTTGCTGGCATGGGGCAGTCATGACTGTTCTCCTGTGACACCTGAGGAAAGCTGGCTCATCCCCAGAACACGGGACAGACAAATGAAGGTAATATGGAAATCTGTCTCCTTGACACACCCACGAGTAGAGAGCATGAAATGTTCGTTTGTTTCCTTGTGAATTTCCTTGCACATTTTTTTCCTTGCAAAAATAAAAAGGTGATTTTTTTTCCCCTGCCATTTAAGGGTGACCTGAGACTGTTGCTCCCTCTTCAGAACCTTGAGAAAGACCTGCCTGCCCTGGCCACCTCTCAGCAAACTCCAGTGTGCCTGCACACATGATGGCTTTCCCCCTGGGAATGGTGTCTGTCTGAAATGACCACATTGCCCTGTTACACCATGTCTGTCTCAGGAACAGCCCAGACAGAGCTACACACAGCTTCACTTTACCAGAGCAGCAGACATTTGCAAAATCCCAGGGCAGATTTTTCGCTTTTCCTGCCCAGTACACACCAAAGACCGTGACTAAAACACTAACAATAACCAGATTCTTTCAAAAACTGAAAAGTATAATTTACCAGCAGCAATAGATGCCTATTTAATACGCTCTTTTTGGAAGCCATGGCTCAGTAAAAACTTCTATAGTTCTTCCTTTGTGCTCTATGTCATATGTTTTTCTTCAGATGCAAGTTGATCGACTAAAACAGCAATGGAAGTATCTTGTGCAACTCTGGATTTTTGCCTCCCACCCAGTTTACAGCAGGAAAGTACATTGCCGAAGAAAAAATGCTGGTAAAACAGGACACATCAAAAGCTTCCCAGGTTTTTAAAGTCCTCATGAGGTCCAAGAAGTGTTATCATCCGTTCTTTGAAATTGTCAAGATATTAAGCATGAATAAAGTTAATCTTCACAGCACACTAAGGGATTCACATAAGTGCCTGTAGATAAGTCAAATGTACAAAGTCACAGTAAGCCTATCATTGCAACTTAAAACTATGGTTTACACTTGAAATTGTTTGGGTTTTTGTTTTGGTTGGCTGGTTTGGGTTTTTTGGCTGTTTGTGTGTTTTTCACCCTGGAATTGAAAAAAGTGTTTGGTTTTCATGTAAAATTCCAGCTTTGAGTAAATAGCATATTTTGTGCTAACTGGTAATGAGCTTGATGAACTGAAAACACTTTTAAAATATTGGAAGGAATGACTAGGAAATTGCTTAGTTTTCAATAGCTGCAGACCATGGAGCAAAATGCTTTCTTGGTGAAAATAAACATGCTTACTCACAAGGGTAAAATTATGACAATCAAAAATTATGATTGTCACAATCTGAATAACATGTCAGTCATTTGTAAAGACCTCTCTAGGAAGGCAGGAAAAGTCCTTGAAAAATATATTCCATTTAACATCAAAAATAGAGGAACACTTCTGCAAAAACCCAGCCTAACACCTTGTTCCGTGGACCTGAGCTCACTATTCTCTTCCATACTAAAAGAGCACACTCAGAAGCTATCACCCTCCAAGACAGCAACAATTATTATAGCGCTTGGGGGTTTTCACCACTACTATTTGATTAAAGCGGCTGAATACATTTCAAATGAAGGCGTTACACTTCAAGGGTTTCAACAGAAATAAAAAGCAGATTCTTCTGCCCTCTGCAGAAACGGCTTGTCACGAAAAAGAAATAGCAGACAGGTTTTCTCAAAGCTCCCCTACGGGCTGAGGAGATTTACCTTAAGGATGAGCTTCTCCCGCCCTCAGCCCCGCCCGTCCCTCAGCATCTCCCGTCCCTCAGCCGCCACCTGGATCTCTCGGTCTGTCCCTAAG